CCGTGCAAATAATCAATGTTTTAGTTAAACTCACCCAGGAGCACTTTAACTGGCAGCTCTGTGGCTGTTTATTTAAAACTGGAAGAATTTGTCATGACATTGATGCATTGTTGGTGTTTTACACTTTATTAAAAGCTACCGTTATTGTATCAATGGAACAAAAACATGCGCTGTTCAGTGTTACTGTGAGGATAGAACAGACTGATTCTGAATGGAAAGCTTGAACGTATTGAGAGTTTTTTGTTTGCTTTGTCCTTAGATTGAATTTACTTGATGTTTTTAGTTACTGATAGAAAATAAAATGTGTTAAAGTTGGCTGGGCTCATATTTAGTGATTCACCAAAATTTGAGTTGGATTCCTGGTAAACATCTGGTCTTTCCTGTGCCGAAGCCTCGTGTTTCTTTACTCGTGCCTTTCTTTAATAAACTTAATCAACATCTTGATCCTGTTTGTTTTACTCTAACCATTCTTCTCTTGTATTTTGAGTTAGCCTGTAGTGAGTAAATATCCCAGTACAATTTGTGAGAAAGTACAGTAGAGGAAAAAAGGACCTAAAGGTTAATTACTGAAATTCAGCAAGATCGAGTCGAGTCAGCCTCACATCCAGTCAAGCTGCCGTGACTCTGTTGGGCACACAAGATGAAAAATTAGGCTACATGCCTTTATTCCCTTTGCATGTAAATATGTATTGATTTAAGATGCTCTAAAGAAAAACAGCGACTCTCTGTTTACATCACTAGAGCTGTAAATATGGCTACATCTTATTTAGGAGAAAAATGTGTTGATGCACATCAGAAATGGAGACGAGTATGGAACTTGATTTGGACTTGTACCTCTAACTTGTGAGAATTAGAAATAGAAAAACAAACGTCGTTAGCATCTTTGTTAAGGTACTGACAAAATGTAATTTTTATTTTTTCAATTCAGTTTATTGAACACTAACATCCCTCAGGGACCATGTAGCAAAACGAGCAGGTCTGATTATTATCCCAGCATATGCAATTTCCGATCAAAACAGTCCCATTCAGAGCCATTTGGTGCAAATCAACCCAATTATAACTCAATATGAGGATTTTAGTTAGAAACAAATTGAAATGGAGAAGCATCAGTTTCTTGAAACATATTTAATTACTAAGAGAATCTTACTACAGGAATTTGTTGAACTTTAACAAGCTGAGAATCAATATTTTGTTTGTCTGTATTTACTCTTTGGCCCAGGCTGATGTCTCGTAAGTAAACTTTGAATTTTGCAAGGCTGCAGTATCTCACTGGAGAGTTTTAACTAAAAACAACTGGACTTGTCTGGTTATTCTGAAGACATTTGCCTCTCAGGTGCCATCTATGTGAAACATGAAACATGAAATTCCGTAATTCCAAATTACAGTTTGTTCATTTTCTTGGAATCCTGCTTCTTTCAAAGTGCTTCTACTAGTTTATAAATCACTCTGTGGCACGGGACAAAAATACATATATGCATTCCTGTTTCTACACCCAATAGGGCTCGGAGATCCCTTGGAAACAATCAGCTGGTAGAACCACGGATCTGAACAAAACTAGGTGGAGATGCTTGTAGTTACTATGCTGCTCACATTTGGAATTAGCTTCCCCATGGCCTCAGATGTGCCCAACCCTAGTGTTGTTTAAAACAAAACTAAAAACCTTAACCCTCTGGAGGCAGGTGTTGCAGAGTTGCAATGTTAAAACCTACCTACCTGGTTGCTCCACATACGTATTTCATGAGCATTTTTTAACTCAGAAGTACCCCTGAAGGACTTAGTTGTTCGTCCTTTTATCAAAACTTATTTTGAGCCTGAGACGGTTAATGTACTCATCAGCACTTTAAAAGCATTGTTTCTTATGTTGCGGTATCTCCACTGCAATCTGCACTGTAACGTTGTCTTCTCCTTTAGCTCTAAACCACAATTCCATGAATATGTATTTTCATTTGTGTTTTATGTTGTTTTCATACCATATCGTGATAATTGTGAAGCACAATGAATTGCTCTGTGTTTGAAATGTGCTTTATAAATAAAGCTGCCTTGCCTTCTGCCACTCGTCGCCGACAGTCACAACACACGGGAAAAGTTGTCTGAACGTTTTGAAGAACATTCCACAGTTTTGCTTTTGAAGTTTATTGCTTTTTGTCCACTTTACAGTCATGATGATCCCAGCATGCTCTAGGGGTGGGGGCGGAGGGGTGGGGGGTGGGTGGGGGGGGGGCTACTTAACACATAGTCTTTCATTGTGCGTTTCTGTTCGGTTATGCTATGATTTCATTAGCAGTGAGTTTAGGATCATTATCATGTTGAAGAATGAAGTCTTAGTTCAGGAGGTCCACAATCTTTATGAGGAAGAGAGCCATTTTTAGGCTCCGCCCATTTTAAAAATAGCCCCCCAAATCTATTTAACCACAACATCAAGATAAAGACTGGTAGGAAGAGTCTTTACTCTCTTTATATACAATACACGCACTACAGCCTTGCTTTTAGCAGTTAGACAGGCGAGAAATGTATCGGTGACACTTTACAATAAGGGTCCATTTATTAATGTTACGTATGCATTATTAAGCATTAATAGTGTATTAAATAACATATTAACAACTTCTTAATATTAAGTAATGCATTGGTAAAGGACCTGTATTTGTATAGCACCTTCTTAAGGCTCTACAACCCCCAAGGTAACAAAGAAAAAAAGAAAACTATATTTTATATCACCTCTCAAGATTAAAATCCCGAGGTGTTTCACAAGAACAAAAAAATGTGAAATACAAAAAATATATTTAAAAAATGATTTAAAAAAATGGCAAAAATGTGAACTAAAATTGTGATTAACCCTCTCAGGCTCAAAATAAGTTTTGATTAAAGGACGAACATCTGTCCTTTAGGGGTACTTCTGCTTAACTATGCAATAAGTAACATTAATAAAGAGACTCTTATTTTAAAATGATACCAGTTTAACTAAATGGTTATAAAATTGACTTTGTTGTGTCGCCTGAAGGACAGAGCAAGCCCACAAACAGTCACAGTGTCGTGTTTCACATTCTGACAGCACTTTTCTGGATTTAAGTGTCCATTGATTTAGACAAGATCCTAAACTTGGCACTACAAAGTTATAGCTCCCTCCTGACTTCCTGCAGATGATCCAAACCATGATTTTAAATTTTATTTCATTGCTCCATCACACTTGATGTGTAAATTGATATTGAGTGTTTTGTTCCTGTTTTGTCTGTTTAAGAATTAACTTCCATTTAGACAGCTTCTGAGTAGTTTTCAGACAGAAATCAATAACCCAACCAACAATGCATTTTTCAGCTCTGTATCAGCTGTTTCTAGTCTCTTTATCTGCTCTAGACTCCTGCACTCCCAGCGAAACGTAACTTCAGAGGTGTATCACCAAGGGGTGGGGTGTACAGTTGTATTTTGTACTTTTTATAGATCAGATTTGTTCTTCTGCTGGCAGCACTGGTGCTTTGCAGCATTTTTCACTTCAAGGACCAATTCTGTGGAAGACAGCTTCATTGAAGTACAGGGGTAGCATAACACACACAACACTAATGTAATCGTCATGCCCATAGATTGATAGTTTTGGCTCAAGACCATTTTGAAGGAGCTTTTCAGTCATTTGGAAGAGGAGTTCTCGGATCTTGGTAATGCTCAAAACTAGTCAGACCAGAAGCTAATTTCTGGCATCTAAAACTTTCCTGAAAACAGTCATGTCAATGTTTCCTGATTCAGAACATCTACTGTTCTATTGGACCAAATGTTAACTTTTACTTTGTGCTGTGTTTTTTCATTGTGGCACCACCAGATTTACTGCACATGTTGCTGTACACATTTGCATGGAAATGCAACTTGACTCATAGCTTGTTAGAAATGCATTTGTCTGGATCATTTGGTTAATGTTCTGTCTCTCACTGTTCAAAAACACCTACTGTTAAATATATAGAGCAATCAATTCTTTTTCAGTGGGAAAACTTACAAAATCAGAAAGATTGAAAAGTTTTTTCTTTGGCTGTATCAATGGTACCAAAATTTTACAGACATTTGGCAAACAACACTTTTAATAAAAACCTTTAAAAATCTATATTTCTATGATCCCGCCACCAAAAAGGGTGTGTAATCGGACTTATGTTAAGCATAATTCGTTATCCGGATGTTTGTATTCAGACACAAAGTTCTTATGGACAGAGTCCTGAATATTTCCGTTTTTCATGGCCTGTCTGAAGGGGGCTAGAGAGACAGATGAAATGGTAAATGGCCTGTATTTGATATAGCGCCTTCTAGAGTCCTGGAACCCCCCAAGGCACTTCACAACACAATCAGTCATTCACCCATTCACACACACATTCACACTCTGGTGGGGATGAACTACAATGTAGTCACAGCTGCCCTGGGGCACAGTGACAGAGGCGAGGCTGCCGAGCACAGGCGCCACTGGTCCCCCCGGCCACCACCAGCAGGCAAGGGGGGTTACGTGTCTTGCCCAAGGACACAGCGACAGTGATCTGCAACCTTCCGATTATGGGGCGAGCACTTAACTCCTGTGCCACCATCGCCCGTCACAACATGACGTATTTATCACTAAGGAAATAAGTCAAGAGGGCAGTTCACCACACACTATTGAAGAAGAAACAAATACGTCTTTGTTTCTAAATAAAGGACTTAAGTACCTCTGCCTGCTCATGTCTCAAAGAAAAGCCCAAGTCTAACTTGTCCAAAGTTGATGCTAAAGCTGTTTCAAATGAACGATGTTCCTCATCCAATGCCATCTTTATAGTTTGCCCCCACTGCCGCTCCGGTGCTAACCCCTTCAAACAAACAGAGCATTGGGATTGGCCAGACACAAAACTGGGCCAGTGATAGACCTGCTAAGGCCATAGTGGTGCATGGTTAGACCAACCTGCGGGGCAGGTCTTATACTCTCCAGTTGGCCTAGATCTCTAGGCTAACATAAATACCTTTTAGGTCCTTAGAGATGCACATATCCTGAGTTACCTTGAGGTCCAGTATTTTGTCCTATGATACATTGTGCTCTTGAGGGCAAAATGTCCTTTTTTAGACTATTTCTTATTGTTGGTGATAACAGCGATTAGTTGTTGGTTCTTATTTAAGTTGTTCTTGATGAGTCTGAACACCTTTCTTTACGTTTTGTAGTTTTGGACACCATTTTTATGCTTTGATTTACTTATCAGCAAAAACAATCAAAAACACACAATTTGTAAAATTTTAACTTCAAAATAAATAAACACATTTCCTAAGAAGAGAACTGAAGAATTATTGATCAACATAAAGTTAATATATTAAAACAGTCTGGAGTGGGTTTTAATTGTTTATTTGGAAACTTTACTCAAGTCTTCTGAATGCCAGACTATCACATCCTTTCAGTCACATTTAATTGTTTTTTCACATTTTTATCTAAAGGTAATTTCCTATATTTTTCCCCAGCAGGTTTTCCACTTGCTTTAAAATTAAACCATATGATTAGAGAAGCCATGACCCCAGCACACTTCCAATAGCGTTGCACTTCCTGTTTGATCTTTCTCAAATCACTTCAGGACTCACTGAAGCTCAGCAAGGACCCTACGTGGTGCTATAATCGGCCAACTCTAAAATATAAAACCCATAGTGGAAAAAAAAGAAGATTTTGTTTGAAGTGGGCCTAGAACGAATGAAACCACATAAAGTCACATAAAAGTTACTTGTTTACATTTTAAATTGAAGGCATTCATCTAGTCTTCTCTGTGACTATGACTCGATAACTAAACCAACCCCTACAAGGCAACAACACTAACAGGGGTTGTAAACAACATATATGTTTGGGTTTTTTATGGCGAGTTTTTAGTGAAACAGTGGTGTCGATTGTTTTTTGCTGCTCAGAACAAATGATGTTTTATACTAGATGAGCAGAACTAAAGATTAAATGTTAGTTGGCCTTAAGCAAACTTCAGTTTGCAGACCACTGGCCAACCAACTAAAAGGCTCCTTTGTGAGCTGAAGGTCGTGACGTCAAATGGGATCAATAAAGACATAAATTCATCGTTTCATCTGGAACAACACAGTGGTGGGAGGATGAGTCTTCATGTCCTCCTCCGTTTCTTAACGTGCATAGCTAATGAGCCTGATTCCCCAGATAAATTAGGCCAAACTATAGACTGCTCTTAGAGCTGCATGAGCTAGCTGACTGTCTTCTATCTGGGCTAAGATAAAGGGATCATATGTGTGCATGTTTTTTTCTTCTTAGCTGGTTTAAATTCATTTCACAAAATGCTGGAAATGCTTGAATACAACCACTATCAGGTGAGATCCGTTTACTTATTTATTTAGGGGTATATTTTTTGTATGTCTGTCGGAATATGATTAGTCTAAATTAAGAGTTTGCTAACAAATGTTTTCAATGCAGCTCTGATTGACATCGTAGAAGATGCGATTCAACTAAAAAGTTGTTTTTGTGAAGAACACCAAACATCTCCTAGTCAATACAAATTGGAATTTCCAATCTGAGAAACATTTGAGGAAATTTGAATTAAATAGACTAACAGAATCTGAAGCTTGTCCATCTGTTTGGAAAGGAGACTTTTTCTGAAATGACATCTCTGACATTCGTCGTAGAACAACCGGAATTATTGGCTCGATTGCAGATTTTGTCACGCAGTTTGGTTATTTCTTAACTTTTTTCAAAATTTTTAATAAAAACACAGCATTTGACATTTAAATATGTGTGTGTGTGTGTGTGTGTGTGTGTGTGTGTGTGTGTGTGTGTGTGTGTGTGTGTGTGTGTAGTGGTGGTCCCCTTATTTAAAAAGGGGGGTCGCAGGGTGTGTTCTAACTACAGGGGGATCACACTCCTGAGCTTTCCTGGTAAGGTCTATTCAAGGGTTCTGGAGAGGATTGTTGAACCTCAGATTCAGGAGGAGCAATGCGGTTTTCGTCCTGGCTGTGGAATACTGGACCAGCTCTATGCCCTTAGGGGGATCCTGGAGGGTGTGTGGGAGTTCACCCAACCAGTCTACATGTGTTTCGTAGATTTGGAGAAGGCGTTTGACGACGTCCACGGGGGCCCTGTAGGGGTCCTCCGGGAGTATGGGGTACCAGGCCCTCTGATATGTGCTGTTTGGTCCCTGTATGACCGGTGTCAGAGCTTGGCCCGCATTGCTGGCAGTAAGTCGGGCTCGTTCCCAGTGAGAGTTGGACTCCGCCAAGGCTGCCCTTTGTCACAGATTCTGTTCATAACCTTTATGGACAGGATTTCTAGGCACAGCCAAGGTGTGGAGGGCATCCATTTTGGTGGCCTGAGGATCAGGTCTCTTCTTTTTGCAGATGTTGTGGTCCTGCTGGCTTCATCAGAACGTGATCTTCAGCTTTCGCTGGAGCGGTTCTCAGCCGAGTGTGAAGCAGCTGGGATGAGAATCAGCTCCTCTAAAACTGAGACCATGGTCTTGATTTGGAAAAGGGTAGAATGCCTTCTCCCGGTCAGGTGAGGTTTTCCGGGCACGGCCAGCCGGGAGGAGGCCTAAAGGTAGACCCATGACAAGTTGGAGGGACTACTCTCTCTCACCTGGCTAGGGAATGCCTTGGGATTTCCCCAGGAGGAGCTGGCCCAAATGGCCGGAGAGAGGGAAGTCTGGGTCTCTCGACTTAGGCTACTGCCCCCGCGACCCGACTCCGGATAAGCAGATGAAAATGGATGGATGGATGGATGGATGGATGGATATGTGTATGGAAGATCTCGTGTTTCCATCATCCGTTTCTGTTCATTTGGATCTTTGTGAACTTCACCCCTTTACAACAACTTTATAGCCTGTTAATCAGACTCAATGAAAGACTGAAACCACAACTTTATGCTTCACATACGTTTGCAGTCCCACCTGGAAAGTCCATCAAAGTACCACATCCAACAGGCTCAGAGACAGCAGGTGAGACAGTACCTGTCCTCCACTCTGGGCGGGAAAGCCGGCGGTCAGCCTTCGGATCCCAGCATGCCCAGTGGCAGTGCCCCCAACAGTCCCATGGCCTTGCTCACCCTCGGCTCCAACTGTGAGAAGGAGGTACATTCATCAATAGCTTTTAAAGTCTCCACCTTAACTTCAAATTTAGTAAAGAAAATGTGATTTTGCACTAAACAGATGGACGATGTCATCGATGATATAATTAGCCTGGAGTCAAGTTACAACGAAGATGTTCTTGGACTGATGGACCCAGCTCTCCAAATCAATAACACGGTAATTTATGCAAACTCTGTTTCACCTCTTGGTTTTAGGTTTGATTCAGAACGGGTTTGTTACATTTGGACACCAATAATGTGTTTGACTCCTCAGCTGCCCGTTTCTGGGAATTTACTGGACGTGTACAGCAACCAAGGGCTTCCCCTCACGAGTCTCTCTATCAGCAGCTCGTGTGCACCCAACATCAAAAGGGAATTCACTGGTAAGCCCCACGAACCCAATATAAATGTCTTGTTGTTAGTTTTGAAAATGATGACAAATTATAGAAACCTTTTAAAATCTTTTAATGCTGACTCATCTTTTCTTCTCTTTTCTAATGTGGTTTGAAATTTTTAATACATATTTACTGTAGTTAAATGTGTGATTGAGAAAAAAGTACATCTGCATCAATATACAGAACGTGAAATGATAATTAAGAGCATATTTTTATTTTATGTGCAATTTGGTATTGCACAAGATACTACTGAATCGATGATTTACCAAATGATTACTGCAGCTCCTGGCATGAAGCAAGTACTGGACAAGCCTGGATCCTGTGGCCAGTTTGAAAGTTATCAAAGGTCTGAGGGCTTTCCAGTAGGTAAGAAAAACAAAATAACAAGGTTTTCCATTCATTGTTTTTCAAAACTATTTCATGCACAACTGAATCGCACACAATAAAAAATAATTTAACAAGAAGAAGAGATAGATGGGACCTTGACAGTAAAATAATGGGTTTTTAAAAAAAATACACTTTTAACTCATTTAGCTTCTCAATAATAAAAATTGGATGTGAATTTTTTAAAGGAACTTTTGTCATTGAATTGAATTTGAATTTATTTAGAAAATTATGTCTAAATGTTTATTCATTATTCCAGACAGCAATAATAATAATAATAATAATAATAATAATAATAATAATAATAATAATAATAATAATACATTATTATTATTACAAAATTTAAGAAAAAAGAGCAATATTTTTGGCTAAATATCCAGTTAGCGTCCACATTTAGGCAGTTGTAAAACAAACAAAAAAAACTAAAAAAATAAACCCATTCAGGAAAATTGATTAATGATCCATTATTGAACAGACTTATATCATCAAAGGGGCCCTGAGATATTATTAAAGGAGCTTTTACTTTGGTAGAGTACTTCCATTTTACAGCAGTTCAAAATTGTGGGCTATATTTACCACACACACACACACACACACACACACACACACACACACACACACACACACACACACACACATATATATATATATATGTATATATATATATATATATATATATATATATATATATACATATAAAAGAAGATTTATACCTTCATAAATGATTTTAAGATGTTTTAAAAAAATACATTTTAAACATTTTGATTAAACTTACTCAGATTTTGTTTTCAGAATATTTGGATTTAATTTATATATTTTTAGACTTAATTCTAAATAGTTATTCTTAATTTTAATAAAGTAGCTCTTAATTTCTTAATGAAATATCTTTTCAGTTGGTGCCTTATAAAAAGAGTTGATTTTCTATTTTCTCTATTTGATGTCGTCATCTCCTTCCTGCAGAGTCAGAAGTCCGTGCTCTCGCTAAAGAGAGACAGAAGAAAGACAACCACAACTTAAGTAAGATAGTAATGAGCAATTAATGTGTGTGTGTGTGTGTGTGTGTGTGTGTGTGTGTGTGTGAGTGTGATGGATTTGTGCATAAAACAGAAACTTATTTTGCTGGAGCAAAGCTGAAACTTTCTGCTTTCTTTTGCTCATTTGAATACATTCTAGTTGAAAGAAGACGGAGGTTCAACATCAACGATCGTATTAAAGAGCTGGGGACATTAATACCCAAATCAAATGATCCGTAAGTATGTCTTTGGATTTAAAATTTCAGATTATTGATTAAAAAAACATGTTTGTGACAAATCAGTGAACGTTTTTGTTAGTGTTTGACTGTAGAAACAGAAAATGACTTATTATTTCTAATTACTTGGTTACCAGAACACATGCACATAAAAAAAATAAACCATTTGAAAAGTGATTAAACTGAAACTGATGTACAAACACTGGATCATCCAGGTCTGGTTCTATCTGGTCAATAAAAATCTATCTGTTTTTTATGCATTCAACGTGTTGTTTCATATGTTATTATTTATTTTATTTAGTCATTACAAGAAACAAACCAACAAACAAACAAATAAATAAAGCTGAAGTATTTACAGACAGAAACAAGCTGACATTAACAGTGATTAACATCCAGATTGTTGTTTTTAGATTCCTATAATGCTAATTGTGTTCTCCATGTGGTCAGACATTCATCAGTCTGAGTTCTTCACTTGTTAACATTTGTTTATAACATCCTTCTCTTTATGCCTCAAAGTACACGCCCTATTGACCTCGACGAGCCATGAAGAATCCCGTGTTGTTCTGGTCAGCTGACTGTAGATCTTTGTCTCTCCTGTCTTCCCCAGAGACATGCGCTGGAATAAGGGCACCATTCTGAAAGCCTCCGTGGATTACATCAGGAAGCTACAGCGGGAGCAAGAGAGAGCCAAGGAGCTGGAGTGCAGGCAGAGGAAGCTGGAGCACACAAACCGCCACCTGATGCTACGTATACAGGTGGGTCATTCTAGAACACCTGGCTGCAGGGCAACCAACCAGCTGCAGGTTTGAGTAAAGACTGATGGCCTGCCTTCAGGAATCCTGTTCAAGTCTAAATTTTGATTTAAAAAAAAAACCTAAAAGAAAGTAAGCGTAAAAGAAGTTGAAAAACTGAAAGAAGTCTCAATGTGAGAAATGACTAAAGTTATTTATAGGTTAAAGATGAACAAAAAGTAGAAATGCCTGTTAAATGTTAAAGGGGATATATTTTGACTTTATTTTTGCATCTAAATTGGTTTCATGGTCAATGTGGAACAAAATCAGTCTCACATAAAGCTATCCCACCAACTCTGTTTTATACATTTCCAGTTTTTTTCAGAATGATTTGTTATGGATAGCCGTTTCATGGCTGTCACTTTAAAGGAGAAAAGCTGCTTCTGGCCATGCCCACCCACCCCTTGATAGGCTGGACGTTTATCACAGTAAATAAGAGAACTTTTTTGGTCACATTTATGCTTTCTCTACCAATGCCGTCATAGTTAAAGCACTGTGTCACATTCAAATGGTTTCAATTCAAAAATACTTACATTGTGTCCTTTATGTAACCAAACATAGTAAATGGCCTGTATTTGATATAGTGCCTTCTATGGTCCTGGAACCCCCCAAGGCACTTTACAACACAATTGGTCATTCACCCATTCACACACACACACACACACACACACACACACACACACACACACACACACACAAACACACACACACACACACACACACACACACACACACACACACACACACACACACACACACACATACGCTGGTGGGGATGTGCTACGATGTAGCCACAGCTGCCCTGGGGCGCACTGACAGAGGCGAGGCTGCCGAGCACTGGTGCCGCCAGCAAGCACATGTAGTTAAATGCTATATTTAAAGGGTCTGTTGACTTCACCCACACTTCCTGTTTGAAAAATGCTCCTAAAGGAGGTGTTGCCTGGAGGACTGAGAGGGGCACTGAGGCAGTGATGGACAGCGCCCCAACCCCACCACCATGCGCTTTCTGAGTATCTCAGTTGGAGAAACAAGCTGTTAGCAAGCGCACATGCACACGAACACACACAGTAGATTCACAGCTCAGGCGTACAGCAAACCGTTTTTCTCTCCACCTGGTTGTCTAGAAAAAAGGGAGGAGAATGTTTTTTAAAGAGGCGAGCGCTTCTGAGCCATATCGTTTCATATCAGCTTACAAGTGGATGAGCGAGCTGGAAGCGTAGCCGAGACTCGGCTGGGGTCAAATGCCAGTTGTTGCTGGGATCTCTGGTCCAATCATGTTGCATCTTCATTAATCCCGTTGTCTTGTGTTAGTGAGTTGAAACATATCACCGCCCTAAGCTGTTCAAACAAAATAGTCTCTCTCCATCTCAGAACATTTTTTGTCGGATTGGGAGTGTGTGAGTGGGACTCCACAAGTCAGAGGGAACTATTGGCACTTTCACATCTGGGTGTCGGTCTGGGTCCCGCACCGGTAGGTTTTGTTCACACAAACTTCTCAGGAAAGGTTGAAATCTCCGAGCACTTGGGCGGGGCTACAGACGCGCAGAACGATAATGAATCGTGCTGCTTAATTCTATCCGCCAATCGGAGGCTCCTTCTAACAGTAGGTGTCTATTTGAGCCAGCCACTCAGTTTGTAGTGGGTGTGTTGGACCTGTTCAGCTCGAAGGAGACCTCTTTGATATGTGGGCCGAAAAACCGACTGGTTGAGTGCAGAAAAATACAAGGCTACCTAGACATGAACACTTTAAAAGCTATTCAGTCCGGTCCATGCTGGCCCAGGCGTGAAAGCGCCATATACGCAAAATCCCAATTGCTTTTGCCACAAACAAGGATTTTTCATCCCTTTCACCCATGGAACGTTTTGAAAAAACTTGTTTTAAGCATCTAATGCCTAAAACCAAAACTGTCAGAAAAAGGATAGACCACTTAGTTTTTTAAGTTTGGATGGTTCATTAAAGTAGAAGAGACTCACATTGCAGCGCTAAAAGATGCAAAATGTAAGATCTTTCAAGAAAATGTCCTCATTAAAGATAAATTGTTGGCAGACCTCACTGATGCTTTATTTAAATCTAAAACAGGCCTTTAGAAAGAATCAAAACAAATATTTTGCTACCCGTGTCTGAAAGAAATCTGGAAATGTTTATGAATGTGGTTGTATTTTTGACCAAACTTCTACATCGTGGTTCTGTTTCCATCCAGGAGTTGGAGATGCAAGCCCGTGCTCACGGTCTTACTGTAGTACCATCGCCATCTGTCTGCACATCAGAGATGATGGCTCGAGCCATCAAACAGGAGCCGGTTCTGGGTGACTGCCCGTCTGATCTCTATTCCCACAGCTGTGGCTCTGACATGTCTCCCCCAACCACGCTGGACCTCAACAATGGTACCATCACTTTTGACCAGATTCCTGCTGACGGAGACACAAATATCTACCGAAACACCAGGACCTGTAAAATGAAGGAGTTGGTAAGGGATAACAGCTTCGGGCCAATATCTCCGAGTGATCCTTTGCTGAGCTCGATTTCTCCGGATGTGTCCAACCAAGGCAGCAGCCGCCATAGCTCCAGTTCCAGTATGGAGGAGAAGGAACATGGCTGTTAGCCTGACATGACAATGACAATTCAGTTCAATTTTTAAAATGTCTTTTCAACCTCCTGGAAAAAAGAAATTAGACGTAATTTTTATTTGCAACAAGTTTTTCCACTTATTTTTTATATCTTTTGCTGTTTCTGTGAGCCAAGACACTTCTGATGATTGTTGTAATCTACTTTCAGAGCATGTAGCTGTAAATCTCATAAAAGCAGCACGATTCTGAAGAGTTAGTTTGAGGTATTTTCTTTGTAGTTTCTTTTTTGGTGAGGAAATACCAAACCGAATGTGAATATGTGTAACAAAGTAAAGGAGCATTAAACTTTTTCTTGTTCCAGGTGAAAGATAAAACTATTTTATAAAGCAAACTTTCCAAGAAATGTTTTAATCATGCTCTTACTGTGAAGGGGAAGAGAGCAAATCTAAGGCTTTGCCATATTTTTGTGATCACATTATTCAAAGACCCCTTATGATGATGAACACAATTGGAAATGGTGTTCCCTAGTCTGGACACAGGTCACTGGGGCCCCCTTTTAGAGCCAGGCCTGGAGGTGGGGCATGTTGGCAAGCACCTAGTGCCTAGGTTTTCACCCAAGGAGCCCAGATGGACACAACCCAAAGAGAAGACGTGAGTCCCCCTTCCTATGGGCTTGCCACTCGTAGGAGCAACCAAACTGGTCGTATGCAATGAGTGATGGGTGGTAGCCAAAGTCAGGGACCATGGAGGTCTGATCCTTGTCTACAGAAGCTAGATCTCCTTTTGTTTACTCTCTCTTTCAGCTGAGGGACTTTCACGCTCATGTGGGCAACGACAGTGAGACCTGCAGGGGTGTGGTTGGGGGGAACGGCCCCTCGATCTAAATCCGAGCAGTGTTTTGTTATTGGACCCAAGAGTGTGCTCGTCATGGATTGTCCATAATGAATACCATGTTCAAGTATAAAGGTGTCCTTATGTGCTCTTGGCACCAGGATACCTTAGGCATCTTGATGATCACCTTATTTGTCTTTTCATCTGATCTGCAGCCGAATGTCTTGGACACTCGAGTGCCCCCTCCAGGTCAGGGACGAGGTCCTGCCCCAAGTTGAGGAGTTTAATTATCTCAGGATTTTGTTCAGGGGTCGGGTTGCAGGAGCAGCAGCCTAAGCAGAGAGGCTCAGACTTCCTTCTCCCCAGCCACTTGGGCCAGCTCCTCCGGGGAATCCTGAGGCGTCCCCTGGCCAGCCGAGAAACTAGTCCCTCTAGGTTGTCCTGGGTCTTCCTTTAGGTCTCCCTCTGGTTGGACATGTCCAGAAAACCTCATTAGGGAGGAGTCCAGGAGGTATTCTAACCAGATGTCCACACCACCTCAACTGGCTCCTCTTGATGTGAAGTAGCAGCAGATCTGCTCCGATCTTAAGTGAGAGCCCAGACACCCTGTGGAGAAAACACATATCGGCCGCTTGTATCTGCGATCTCATTCTTTTGGTCACTACTCAAAGCTCGTGACCATGGATGTAAGAACGTAGATCGACCGGTAAGATGAGGGCTTTGCCTTCCAGCTCAGCTCTCTCTTCACCATAAGAGACTGGTACAACAGCCCTATCACTGCAGACACTGCACCAATTTGCCAATCACCAATCGATCTTACGCTTCATTTTCCCCTCACTCCGGACAAGCGCTACGTGGTGGTACAGTTGTTAGCACTCTTGCCTCGCAGCAAGAAGGTTGCAGGTTTGAAACGCCGCTGCGGCCTTTCTGCGTGGAGTTGCGTGTTCTCCCCATGCATGCAAGGGTTTCCTCCGGGTACTCCGGTTTCCCCCGCAGATCACTACATGCCCTATAGATTAACAATTGTATGTCGCTTTGGATAAAAGTGTCTGCCAAATAAATAAAGATAAACAAATGCATCTAAGCAGACAAAAACGGATGGATAGATTATTCAGTTTGTTGTTTTTCTTCTTTTTTTTAAATTAAGAAATACCTTTGTTTTAGATGTACATATAAAAGAAACACCAAATATGTATTTATGATACATGATAACATTTTGTTTCTACTGAATGTAAAATAAATATGTACAAAACATAAGGATGGTTTGAATTTGTGGACTAGAAGGCAGATACAGTTGCTCAATGTCTGTAACAAACGATGCTTTATGTACCCACCAGAAAACAAGGATTCTGACTTTCCACCGCTGTAACCATTGAAAACCCCACAATACTTTGCCATATATAATTTTTCTAGTATTTTTCTGTTTTAATGTGACATACTGAACCACGTGTTGGAATAAACAAAAAACAATAATAAGACAAAACAAAAAATAACTAGAAAGTTTCGAGACATTAAACCTAAGTAAAATATTATTACTTACTCCTGGATGGCTGGGAGCTTTCTTCAGCTGAATGAAGATAAGACGGAGATCCTCATCTGTGCCCCAGACAAGCTGGTCCACAAAATCAGAGACTCTCTTGGTCAGCTTGCTTCTCACACCAAACCTTCTGTCTGGAATCTTGGCGTGACCCTTTGACCCAGCTCTCACCCTGGATTCTCATGTCAGTTCTCTTGTTCGCTCTTCCTTCTTCATTGACTGCCAGTCAACATCAGGGTTAATTTCAAGATTCTGCTTCTGGTCTTTAGGGCCTTACATGGACAAGCACCATCATACATCAGTGATCTTCTCAGCCCCTACACCTGTGCAGCACCAGGCTAAAGACCAAAGGTGACAGATCATTTGCTGCTGTGGCCCCCAGACTCTGGAACTCTCTCCCCCTGAGCCTGAGATCAGTGGACTCAGTGGTCTCCTTCAAAAAGCAGCTGAAGACTCACTTGTTCAAGCTGGCTTTTGTATGACCTTCTTCACCACTCTCTCTTTATTCTGCTCTCCCCACCTATTCCACCTTCCTCAGGATCCACTGATTTCCCTCTTTCCTATTCACTCTCTCTCTTTCTTTACATTTTTTAATCACAATTGTCTATTTTTGCTCATTTGAAACATATTTTAATCATTTTCAAAATAATTTTTTATATTTTACATTTTTTATTTTTGTGAAGTGCCTCGTGATTTTTATCTTGAGAGGCGCTATAGAAAAGATCTTTTCTTCTTCTTTTTCTTCTACTTTACATTATGCTATAACCCCTATTCCAAATCGAGGACAATGCATTCGGTGCTTTATTACTGTACTTAAGTACATTCTTTCTGTATCTGTACTTACATTTTCTTGAGGTCTGTCATTTTTACTTTACTGCATTTTAAAGCAGTTATATGCACGTTCTACCCCACTACATTATCTTAAAATTATCAAAGTAAAAACACATTTTTATGTTTTGTCCGAAGAACGGCAGCACACTCCCTTGTGTGTGCCGGTATGCAGTTTCAAAATAATTGTAATGTAATTTTCATTCTGCCCTCCACCGCCTGGTTCAAAATCACATTTCTACACACTTCACATATTTTAATGTTAGTTGAATACTTTAGTTTTTTGGTACATTTGTAAAGGCACATTTTAATACTTTTATTAAGTAGCTTTTTACCTCTATCAGTAATTTTACTTAAGTAAATGTACTTAAGTACTCAAGTACTTCTTCCACCACAGCTTTTTACATTGCTTTTTGTTTTGTAGAAGCTAAATAAATGGCCTCGACAGTTTTTTCTGGGGAGACAGGAATGGGTCAAATTAAACAATTCTGAGTATTTGACTCAACTTTTAGTTGTCTAAGGACTGTGTAGCGACATGAATGGCCTCATTTGTGACCCAAAGGTCACACTTCCTCAGCTGGGTCAAGCTGCTGTACTGTATTTACAGATCATCCATCACAGGAAACACAAAGTCTGCTGTAAGCCATCTTTAATCTGACAGCTGTTCCATCCACAAGACGAAGGACACTTCAAGATTTAAAATAATCATTTTTAATAAACTCTTTTCACTGTCTATTACAAGGTTCATAAATAATCATCAAGGTTCATTATGAATGTATTTCATTACTGAAATGAATTATTATTCTTTGGTTAATAATAATTATTATTTATGATAATCAGTAATGTTAAACAGTGTAAAGAAGGTCATGTGCACTTATACACACCATGCAGGACACAGAAATCAGGGTAAAGGTAACTGCTCTCACATGTCTTTGTTCCATAACGCCAGAGCTTTCTATCTCTGAGAGGGCATGCTCTGAGTCATGTTCAAACTAAAACTCCTCAGTTCAAGTTCAGTTCTTGAGCTCACCAAAATCTCTCTGTGGCACGAAAGTCCCAGAGGATCGAGTCGGCCGCTCAAAACCTCTACTAAAAGCCTTTCTGTCATGCTGATAGAATTGCTTCAACAAGAAACGCCATCTGCAACAAGCTGACGCAAAAACTCCTTCAGAGTTAATTTAAGACGCAAAACCATCCACCTGTGTACCTGCAGCAACTCTAGGACCAGAGAGTTGGTACCACTGGTCTCCCCTACCGGACCGAGTACCCCGAGGCTAATCAACATCCTCCCTTGACCTCTGGATCCAAACAGAGGGTCGTCTGAACGGTGAGGTAGCACACAGATTGCGTCTGTATGCCTGTTCCTTTAAGAAATATTTTAGCTTAGCTGCAAACCAACTCTTTCACCCTTAACGTGTTTTCTCTCTCCTATAGAAACCTTCTGAGACTACATTTACACATCCAAACACACACACATCTCATTTTTAGTTCCATCCAGACACAGGTTGCTTTAATACCACATTTTAATATCAAAGCTTTTATAAATTGTCATTTTTGAATTGTCTTTTAAATGGTCATCTTTAAATTGTTAGTAATAAATTCTTAACTTTTAAACTTGACTCTTCTTTGAAATAAAACACAGAGTGGTGTATATTTGGTCACTGAACGAGCAAAAATCTCTTTAAATCTTCTGAATCAATAAATAAACTTTTGCTATTAATTTAAATCTCTTAAATTAAATATTAATCTTTGTATTAAATATAGACCAAGCCAGATGGTGTATAAACTTCTATCGATTATATAAATATCCGTGGATATTTATATATAAGTTTAATTTGCCAACTCGTTTGATCTTTCTCAGAATTTAGCAAAGCTGAATAGCACAACGTTATATTCTAGTTATGTAGATTAACCACGGTACAACTGTGAACAGCAGTTGGAGCTAACTTTCTGAGTAATATTGTCCATTGATCAGAAAAAACAGTCTTGGGTAGATAAAAAGGATTTTTTGAGATTTCTAAAATAAATGCAGTGTCAAAAAAAATCTACTTACAGA